CCTTCTTGGAACCCTAAAGACAGACAATAAGTAAATTGGCAAAGTTGCAAGAGTGGGCCTTATTAGGGTAATCCTACTCCCCAAGGACAAGTAACATTTCTTCCTGGAAGCCAACCTTTTGGAGAATCTCTCGACTACAAGATTCCAAAATTGGCTTTTCCTCAAATTGTTCCCCAGCAATAAACCTAAATAGTTCAAAGGCAATTGATCCACCTTATAATCCAATAACTCAGCCCCTTCTTAGACTTGTCTATCCTCCATGTTCAAGCCCACAAGACAACTTTTGTCCCAATTCACTTTCAGATTTGACATTCTTTCAAAAATCAGCACTATCATTTTGAAGTTCCCCACCCATCTCAAATCATTACCATCAAAAAACAAGATTGTATCATCAGAAAACTACATGTGGGTGATAGGAATCTATTCTCCACCAATCTCCCAAGAACATCTAAAATCAACGTGAACAAGAAAGGAGAAAGTGGGTCCCCTTGCCTTATTCCCCTAATAGCATGAAAGTGATCAACCACAGAACCATTGACCAAAATCGAATAATGACAAGTCCTAACACAACCAAAGGTCTACTTGCACCATCTATCACCAAAACCAAATTCTTTATTACCTCCAACAGAAAACCCCAATCGACCATATCATAAGCCTTCTCCAGATCCAATTTACAAATCAAACCCTTCTTTCCTAATCTCTTTCACCTCATCAACACACTCATTAGCAATTAAAATTTGATCAGTAATTTGTCTATCCTTGACAAAGGCCCCTTGATACAGAGAGATCAAGGAAGGTAAAACAACCCTAATTCTCCGAGAAAGCACCTTAACAATGATTTTGTACAAGCTATTATTCAAGCTTATTGGTCTATAGTCCTTTGGCGCAACATCAGATTTTTTAGGGATTAAGGCAATAAATGTGGAATTCAGCCCCCAGATTGATTACACCTCTCCCAGAAAATACATTGAAGACTTTCTGTAAGTCATTTTTTAAAATCTCCTAGCAGTCTTGGTAAAAAGCCACCGTAAAACCATAGGGACCAAGGGCTTTGGGTCTATCCATAGAAAACATAGCCTCTTTTATCTCCTCGAACTCAAAGTTACTTTCCAACCAATACTTAGAATTTTCAATCAGTTTGGGTCAATCTAAACAAGCAAGCCACACTCTTCCATCTAGGGTTCTCCTAAAAATTAACTTAAAATGATCCACAAAGGCTCAGGCAATCTCATTCTGATTAGTCAAGGTAATACCCTCCATCACCAATTTGGAGACAGTTTTTTATCATCCTTCCATTAACCAGAGCATGGAAACATTTGGTATTTCTGCCTCCCTCCTTAAGCTAATTATTCCCTGATGTTTGCCTCCAACTTATTTCTTCTTTCAACAAAAGATCCTAAGGTGGTCTTTCTAGTTGTCTCCTTAAAGACCACCTTTCTTCTTTATCTCTTTCCTCAAACAAGCCTAAAATTCTTTTGCATCTAGATCCTCAATCCTACTAATTAGTTCTTGCTTCCTCTCCTCAAGTCTCCCGAACTGACGGATGTTCCACTCCTTAATTTTGTCTTTGAGCTCCTTCGGCTTCCAATAAAATTTCACACCTTCCCACTTGGCCCTTGGATTATCCACCAGCATTGTTAACTTTTTCAATAAATTCATTTACATAAAGCCACATATTCTCAAACCTGAATTGTGTCGGACCTCTTCCCTCCAAATCCTCCTTAAAAATTGAGATAGGCCAACGGACAGATGTGATCCTAGGTAAGGCCCGAGAAGCTAGGTTGCCACAATGCTCCTCTTAATACAATGTGAATAAAAATTTGTCTACTTAGAACAAATTGGATTGGACTACAAATTAGACCAAGTAAAGTTACTGTAGGCCAAGTGCAACTCTTTGAGCTCACACCCTTCAATAAATTGATTGAACTTCTTCATAGTTCATACTTGTGCTTACTCTCTGTATCAGGCTTGTGGTCTCATCAATGAATCTAACAACATTAAAATCACCCGCTAGACAGCAAAGCCCATCCCACAACCCTTTGATGTCCTCCAACTCTTCCCAAAATTCATTTCTTTCCCTATATCCATTTGGACCATACACATTTGTCAAAACCCATTCAAATCCATCAGAAACATGTCTAAATTTTATTAAGACTGTGTATTTGCCCACCAATTCTTCAACTCCAATCAACACCTCACTGTTCCAAATTGTAATTATCCCCCCAAATGACTCCCAAGATGGGGAGAAAGTCTAATTCCCCTACTCTTCCAAACGCTTCTTGCCCACCGACTATCAAAGTCAGTGAGTTTAGATTCTTGAATCAAGACCACATCCGACTTTTCTTTCCTCAGCATTGCTTTGATAGTTGTTCTCTTTCTACCCCTACCCAACCCTCTCTCATTCCAACTTAAAATTTTCATCGTCACCTGAAATTAAGGCCTTTCCTCCTACTCCTCTCTACTTTGTTCCCCCCTAAAACTTCATTTCCTACCACTAAATTCCTTATCCCCTTCCACATCCTTTTTTAATCTTTCAACCTCACTAAGCCTTCTTTTCCTAGCCCCCTCACTTCCTTCTTCTTTATCACAAAAGTTTTACCTCTATTGGCTCTTTTAACTTGCACCCCAATTTATATTCAGCAACTGACTTTTCCTTCTTTGTATCATCACCTTCCACCCTTGGAACCCCAAAGCACTCCCCACTAATAGCACCATCAATATTTTCTATTCTTCTCCCCCCTGACCTCTCGTCCTCCTCTTATTCTTTTCTCTTCATTTCCTCCAAAAAACTCTATCAATTCCCAGATTTTCCTCCCTTTATCCTCCACAACTACTTCCTTCTCACTCATACCACTATTTCCAGCTTGCAACATGAAGGCCACCTGGGTACCTAGAGTAGACCTATTCATGGGCCGGACCGGGTGTGCAAGCCCAAGCTCGAGCCCGGCCCTTAAGTAAAGCCCAAAGCCCGACCTATACACAAAATGTCTTATTTTTAGTGTACTTTTATAAACTATTATTATATTAATTTAGTAATAATTTAATAAATTAATAAACTAATTTGTATTTCCTAATAGTAAATTAATATGTATTAATAATTTAAGAAATATATATATTTATTATATATAATATAAATGCTTTTTTATTATATGTAATAGTATCAAGCTGGGCTTATTTGAGAAAGCCCGAGCCCGACCCGAAAAATGATTGGGCCTGTTATTTAAAGCCCGATCCCACGAGCCTGAAGTTTTGTCCAAGCCCAAAAAATAACGGGTCGGGCCGGGCCGCCGAGCTACCCGGCCCATGAACAGGTCTAACCTAGAGGGAAGGCTTCAGACAGAGCAACAACAAGGGTTAGTCACTAAACTGGATTTCACAAGATTACCTAGATTCAGAACATGGTTGGACTTGACGGTCATAAGAGTGGTAAGACGACTTTCCTGAGCAGTAGTTTGGTGTTTGCCATTAGTACCAGGTGAGGCCAAATTGGGAAGCTTTCCTTGGTATCATCATCCTTCTGTTTACTCCCATTAATCCGTTGCTTATCCTCCCTTAATGCCCCATTTCAAGACTTGAAGTTAGTCTCCACCAGCCCTTCACAGACATCCTGGTTAATTTTAGAGTTTAGTTTTGGCATCCCCTTATTTAGGCTTTGGCTTCCATCCACAACAAACTCCGCGATAACGATCACCACCACTTGTTGTTGGACTCAAAGACGAGGCGTTATTGACTTCATCCAAATCTTCAGAAAGCAAGACGTCAGTACATAAATCCACCTCTGGATCCACTACAATCGAATATCCCTTGTCCATGCTMTCTGCTAGTGAGTCAGCTTCAGAATCAATTTTTTTCCATATTCTTTCTACTATTATATCCTATAAACCAGTTGATGTGTACAAGGTTGGAAGGTTACATTTTGAAATATTGTACATGTATGTGGAATAATTAATGGCATACCCTGCTGATTGAAAGAGAACAAAGCAATAGTTTATCTCCTGCTCTGTATGGCAATAACAAGGGCACTGACATGTCTGTTAGTGCCCAATACAACATGAAATGAGAGGCAGCCAAGTTTATAGTATATTTCTTATGCTACAAGATATTTCAAAAGTAATTTGCTTTAAGTGGAAAACCACTATAACAAGCTAAGTGTTAGTGGAGTTAGTGAAGGGGTATTTCGGTCTTTGTAGTTGTTGAGAATGTTAATGTGTACTGTTATGTTAGTTCGAGTGCCTCTTACTTAAAGAAGGGATAACTTTTTTCTCTAATTCGAACCAGCCTTTCTCTCTTTCCTCTCTTTTCTCTCTTCCTCTTTCCTCTCCTACTTCTTGCTGTTTACTTTACAGTCAACGAACAAGACAGAATTCTAGGGCAGGTCAAACTTTAACACTAAGTTTCTATCAAAGTTGAATAAACATGGAATATTACTTTAGAACATGGGAAACATGGCAAATTAATTGTGCATAATGGTCTTCGGCAATCCTCACGTGTAAGACACCCAAAGACAGATATATAAGAAGGCCATGGTTGGTCCCAGCTATTTCAGGTCTTGGGAGGAGTTGACCAAATACAGACCTAACCTTTGGCACACAAAGTGGCCATTCTCAGTTTCAAACACATTCTCACTTTTCAGCCCAAGATTTTACCATTAAACCAAGAAATTGCCCCTACACAAAGACAGATTTTATACAAGTGATAAATGTATATTCAATAACAAATGAACATTAAGCACAGGGAAAGTTCAAAATAAAGATGTATTTAGATAAATAGGCTCTGAAAAGATTATCTGCTAACTATTTTTCTTAACAGGTATATTATAAACAGAAAATGTCATCCATCAAAAAAGAAAAGAAAGAAAGAAATGGAAAAATGCCTACTATTTAATGTCAGAAATAACAGGTAATATAAAGTTCATCTCACATAAGTAAAGGCATTCAATTTGTATTAAACAATAAGCTTCACATAATTGAACTGGAGTTCATAGTTGTTGTATTACCTACCTAGTTTTTACAATTACAACATCGCAAGTTGGACAATCTATCCAAAAAAAACCCAGTATGATCTCAGACTCCAACCTACATCTATGAATCAGAGCCTCCCCAGTTTCTCTGTTCTTGAACTGAATCTCATGATTTGATCGTTGAATCCCTAAAACCTTTGCATCTAGAGAATAGCGAACAGAAAGCACAGGCCCTTCACCTATAGAATCACAGCTAGGAGCATCAGGTGGAGTAAGTGGAACAGTTTTCCATGCAAAGACCTGCAAAGGATGATTCTGCAAAACTCAGCCAAAGCAGCACACATAGACAAAATACAGACAAATATTCTATCTATTCCAAGACATACAAGTCATGGATAATATGCTACAAAAAAAAAATTGTGCATTTGATTTTTGGGATGACATATTACCTGATCAGAAGTTACTGATAGCAGCAATTTATTTCCATCATCATAGAATAGACCTTTTGAACCAGGAATTGTACATCTTAGAGGAGGATGCTGAATATAAACATGAGATAGAGTCCCAGATCCACCTAAAGCAACGCCAGGCTGTGAATTTAATGCTTTTGCAGACATGTTTCAGTTTTCTTGTCTTTAAGTTATAGTAGAATTTTACTAGTCACTTAATTCTGCTTATGAACTTTAAGGTCACACAGAAGGGGAAATACCGAAGTAACAATAGCCAAGTAAAAATTTGGAGGACTATATCATTCCATACAAAAGCCACTACACTATATCAAATTCTCAATTTAACACAATGTATGTTTTCTGTATGTTTCAAATTTTATTGTCTCTGAGCTTTATGACCAGCAATTGTGGAATTCAGTGAATGACAGTAGATTGGGAAAGGAGGAATTTGATCTCAAACTCTTCCTCTGAGCTGCAAGAAACATTGAAGAAAGCTTTAATAGTGCAACTCATGATATAATTGTACAACCATATTCACTGGTTCAGAAAATATAATGGTGATACAACCTTCTGCATGCATGATTTTAATGCGAGAAACTCTTTCAAACACATGTCCTGTTCAACCTGTGGAACCTTTTTTGCAACACAACTCCCATATTCTTTCGCCTGCATAAGTGGCAATAAAAGTAAAAGAAGGCAAAATAAAGGAATTAAAGACATTTAAGTCAACCACACATAGTTAGTCATCTAGGTGGCTTGGCAAATTGCTTACATCAAACCCTTGGATCCAAGGCAATTGGAGGAAGATAATGGAGTCTCAACATCAAAGAATAAAGAAAATAGCTCACAGAGAAGAGAGAACTATTAGAAATTCATTAATTTTCCAAAGAGAGCCCTTGTCTCAAACAGTGTTTTCAACCTGCCATTGACCCAGATGGTCAAGCCATTAAACCATCACCCGGTCCCAACTCTGGGTCTGGTCTTTCTAAAACCCAAGATTTGACCAAAAATTGTTGACTTGGTCAAAACCCATTTGACCTAGGTGATAGAACTGTTAAGTCATTGACCCATTCAACCTGATCACTAGGTCACAGGTTACCCACTAAAATGTTTTGAAAGATGATATTATACATTTCTAACAAAAGAAAATTTTGTGACTTTATCTCTCTAAGCTCCACAGCTAGAAATGGAATGTGAGATCAAAACCCTGAAATACACTGCTCAACCTCCAAACTGAAATGCTAACATGATTATATGTGAATAAACATCCAGAGTATGGTTCAAAGTATCGATACAGTCCAATACGCCAAATTGGGCATATTGGATTTTGTATCAACACTTTTTTTTATTCCATACATGTTCAATGGGGTCGGTTAAAAGCCTGCCTACCCCTTGAAACAGGTCTTACCCTCAAGCTCCCCTTATTTCGTGTATCTATGACCCACCAATATGATATGTATCAGCCCATCACATATCGATACTTTGAACCTTGATCTAGAGATGTCCTTCAAATGAATTTACATGTGTTTTGTTTCATCGTCCGCATGTCCATGTAGAAATATATTATCAAAATACATGATGAAACACAAGATTTTTTTTTTTTTGAGAAAATCATGAAACACAAGATTTGATTCCTTCATGGTTTACAATGTCCATAAATTTCCTAATATTTCCATTTCTATGGATACTGATATGAAATGTTACTGGAATAAACATATTCTCCAATGAAGCTACAAGCTACCAATGCTATGTGGAGTACGAAAGATAGTATTGTACTACTATAACATAAGTTGGTGACAATATTTTAGATATGTGGAATAGCAATGTCATTGCCCACCTAATGCACATGATTGCTCCTTTAAGCCACCTCGAAATTCTTTTCAAACATAAAGTTAAATCTTAGTTTTTTATTGTACAATTAATTATTTGGTTGATCTATTAGAATCATTTTCACTTTCTATGAACTTAAATTTTGCTTGAATTCACTCTATCATGTAGTTTTGATGATTTGGAACAAGATAATAATTTAACTCTACTTATGCATCTTTTATCATTACATAATAGCATTCTATATGTTACAATGTTTATACCATGTCTATAATTTTTACAGTATTTCCATATGATGCTTCTAACATTTCTGACTTGTTCCCTATATTTGGATGATTGGTATTTCCACTGGTACGAACATTTTAAACTTTGGATTCCTTTATTAGTCTGAAATTGAAAGTATAATACAAAAGATTGGCTCTCTTCCTAAAGAACCAAATACCAAATCAAATATAATGGAGTTCCATGCCCCAATTACATATGTACATCCCATGAAATCAGCTTTTATTAGTGTTGATTTATGTAATTTAACAGTCCCACCAAAACCCTTAATCTGGTCTAATTTCAGTTGATACTTGTAGTAGTAGCAGGTCATATTAACTTCTATCTATGTGACCCAAATGCTTAAAAATAGGAATCCACTTAAGGTCAAAAGAGGCCCAAAATTTCATTCCCTTGATACAAGTCCAGCCTCCCATCTGTGGATATTTCCCAGGCCAATGGGCCTCCATTTAAGGATAGTTTTATTGAATAAAGTTAGCAATAAACCCACTATCTTTTTTTTTTGTACTTTTCTTTGTTCTTTCTGATATAGATTCTTTTGGAAGGCAAGGTTCATTATGTTTTTTTCTCCCCTAAAGAGACAAATCCTGCACTTTGTACAAATGGTTATATACTAGTTTTCCCAAGTCCTACAGCCTATGGGTGCAAATATTAGAGGTTCATAAAGAACTAAATACTACGGTAGTTTTTTTGTAATTTGTACAACAACTCCATGCTCAAGTAGTTTTTTTTAGTTTTGCTAGAGATGGCTGTTAATAGCTCTTGTGCATTAGTTTACACACTCTCATGCACATCCCTTTTTGGCAATTAATAAAATTAACATGGACACCTTTCCCTCAAAAGAAAAATGGAGGCCAATTTTTCTTTGTAAACTTGCTTGTTGAGAAGTAATGCTTCATCTGATATGGTTGCTTGACACTTAGGTTCTACCAACCTCCTTTAAAGATAGAAAAAGTATGTTTAAAGAATAAGATGATCTAAAGTCATCCAGCTCAATGCTATGGCCTGAAAATAATAGAGCTCATTTACTCACCTGAGATGCACAGCTTACTAAGATGCGCTTGAGGGTGGAACTGGTGTTTCGATCTTTCATTTTCACTTTACTGAAGAAAAGAGAAGGTAACTAATAATATAAGTATGATTTCGTTAGTATAAAATTACAACTTAAATTGTGCATAAATTCCAACACAGATTAATATGTGCATGCAAGGGCAGCAAATAATTAGACAAGCCTCAACACATCAAGGTAAAAAGATATGACAAAACTATGGAAGCATTAACATGTATGTAAGCTAAGCAACATGAAAACAGGCAAAGCCTGACTTCACACACAAAATTTATGCTGTAGAAAATAGTAGCAAACAACATATAAAATGTACAAATGAACCCTAAACTATTATACTTTTAAAAAAACAAGCTGACCTCTTGCTTGAAATTTTTGCAGGCTTTAATTGCACAAGAAGTTAAGAACATGATTTTCTTAACCTTAATTAGGCAAGAAAAAATTGGCATATTGTGTAGAGTCATCAAGATCAAAACTACATGCAATTCACCGGCTATCATGAAGACCTTCCCTCTCTAGAAAATAGGCTTGACTCTACTTTCTTTAGCTGTTTGGACAATCTTAGAAGCTCATACATTTTCGAAAATATCACCATTTACTTGAAACCTTCAAGATATAACAACATAAACTTAGCAAGAAAATAGATACCCAACAACCTTCCATTACTTTTTAAACATTTGATTAAATGTCGTCAATATAATCTCAATACTTGATGCATAAATTCACAAAAATTATATCCCCCACCTTGCAAGACTACAGAAGGCGATGATCACACAATGCAATGTTCTCACATTACATCATTTTGCAATACTTCATAAGTACAGAATTTCCTTGTCTATATTCAGAATACAATCGGTGCAAAAATCATAGAACAAAATAACTCGCTCGTAAAGGTTAAGAAGAATATTTTATTAAAATAATAACGTAAATGAGGAAAAAATGAGAATATAATGAACCAGAACAATTTAGAAAGCTTACTTTACCTCTTCTCAAAAAAAAAAAAGATGAGAAAACCGCAGCTTGCAGAACTAATCATAACAGATACGTCTCTTATGAAGTCCGACTAACTATTCATGGAGACAAAGGATTAATTTTTTTTCCACGAAATTAGGTATTCATTCTAATGTACTCCACAAATACTCAATTGAGATCAAGCGAATGAACTATTTGATCTGTCAGGTTGCATGTCTTCATACTTAAAATAACTCACAGATTGCACTAACAACATACTCGATCTTCATCTTCCATTTCTATTTTTCCCTTTTGGTAGGAATTTTTTTTTCCATTTTGGTAGGAAATTTTGAAGAAGAAGAAGAAGCTATGAATTTTGTGAATTTAAGTTAACCAATATCTATTAGAGAAAAGATAATGATAAAGGAGGGGCATACCTTGGAATTAAATCATTCGTCGATTCGGTCCCATCAAGAACACAGCAAGAGAGATATCTGTTCTGTAAAATTCAGTCGTACTGACCGAAGTTCACAACTCGCGAGTCACAACCACCTAACAGTCTTTGTTCCTTCCATACTGGTAGGGCCCCGTGCAATGCACGGATGGGATGGGCTGTGGGGCGCCTGTGGAGCACGCTCATGTGGGCAGCTGATCCCGTCTTCCATGAAAGCTGTCGTTTAACCGGGACTCAAAGATCGCATCAGTTCTCAGTTTTTATGGTCCGACTGTCCGGTCCGATCCAAGTCTAACAAAATTTCTGAATTATTGTTAATTATAATTAAGAAACATTAAAATTATTTTTTTATAATTAATAAAGTTATAATTATTGTTCATTAATTAGTTAATAAGCAAATAAATTAAAATCATTTAAGTTTTATTAAAAAACCTAATTGTAATTTTGTTAATGGCACATTTTTATTAACTCTTACCAAAATTATTAAGCTGTTTTATTAAATAAATGGAAAAATACAAAAACCTCACCAGACGTTTTTAACAATCATAAAAATCTTCCCTATAGTTTCATTCTAATAAATACCTCCCTTGAACTTTTAAGAAACTTGACAAAAACCTCCCTTCTACCACCTTTCTAGACGAAAAATGTTAGACTGATGCACCATATTTTTCTAAATACCCATTTTATCCTTTAATAAATTATTTTACATACAAATTTACTGAAATAACCCTGTTTTAACTCGATAAAAATGTTAGAAAATGACCATTAAAGGAGGTTTTTGTCAAGTTCAAACATGGTTATTTCTATAATTGTATGCAAAATAATTTATAAAAGGGTAAAATTGGTATTTGGAAAATAATTGATGCATTAGTCTAACATTTTTCGTCTGGAAAGATGATAGAACGGAGGTTTTTATTGAGTTTCTCAAAAATTCATGGGAAGTATTTGTTAAAATAAAACTAAAGGGGAGGAGGTTTTTACAATTGCCAAAAACTTGAGGGAAGGTTTTTGTATTTTATCCTTCAACAAACTTTGAAAAAATAGAGGGTGCCACCTGGGAGCCCAGATCACCTATTACGAAAATATGTTCCAACATCATCTAAGCACTTACAGGAGATCCCAACTTGCCACCAAGGTAGAGGATAGACCCAACCTCCATTAGTCCATTTACAGTAGCTATTATGTAATAAAAAAAAAAAAAACTTAGGCTCCATTTGGTTCGCAAGAATAGGGAATGGCCATTCCCTATCCCTTCCTTGGGAACAAAATCTCATTCCTATTAATTCCAATTCTCATTCTCATTCCTGTTTGAACCAAACAGCCTATGGGTATTGGCCATTCTGATTCTGAAGGATTTCGATTCCAATTCCAATTGTGAACCCAACAAACCCTTATTTTCTTCAAATGGTCTACTCAACATAATCGTGCATTGAAAGTTAAAGTTCAGAGTCAGCATTTGGTTAAGCAAATTCCTCAAAAACTTGCATCTAGTTAGAGATGGGGTTATTGAAGCAGTGCAGACCCCAAAATTTATGAGATTACACATTTTCTAAGTGCCAAAATGAGATTAATATAAGCGGTGATGAAGTAATCTCTCGACTCAGGAGACGAGAGAGTGGTTGCTTGCTCAAGTGAGCATTTGAGAATCTCTAAGAGAGTGTTTGCTTGCTTGAGAGAGAGTCAGAAGAAATATCTAGAGGGGAGTAGGTTTGCTTTCTCGCATGGCAAGAAGGTTTGCATGCAAATGGAACGTCGGGAGTCTAGCGATCAGGAAGAAAGTAGAATGGAGAAGTGGCTAAAAGCACTCCAGAGCAGATGTAGAAAAGCTTTGTATGGCAAAGTGGTGGCGGATAAAAGGATGAATGTGCATGGAATCATCTAGAAAGTTAGGAATTTCTAGTCAAACAGTAGTTACGAAGTGAAATGGTTGGAGGGAGAGCTACTATGGATTAGCTTCAAAAAGGAAAGGGATGCAAAAAGATTCCTTCTCTAGGAACCATGGCTAGTAGATGGTTTTCCGCTCCTACTGAGACAATGGAGCCCAAATGTTCCATTGGACAAGGTATGCTTCAAAGAACTGTGTATTATGGTTCGAATATTGAAGGCTCCTATGGATAAGAGGTGTTGGGATTGGGCGGCAAAGATGGTCTCTGTTTTGGGGGAACCATTGAAGGAGGAGGATGGAAATGAGAGTTCAGAGGATGAGACCTTAGACAGGGTTGAACCATTGTGGGATAGGTTTCTCAGAATCCGAGTTAAAATAGATGTTAGTAAACCATTAGTGATTGGGAGCTTTGATCAGATGGGATAGCTGATAGGGGAGCTCGAGGGGTGGAGTTCTGCAGATAGGGGCGCATCAATCACAAAACGAATGGTTCTAGGCCCACAACGATCAAGAAAGGAGCGATGACGTGGAAAATTTCTTTGGTGGCAAGAATGATTCATATGGGTCAAGTAGAGGAAGGGTAAGGAAAGGAAAGGAAAGAGAAAGGCTTTAATGAGGATCCTAGAAAACGAAGGAGTTTTTAGCTACTCGAGGAAAAGAGTATCGGAAGGAGTGGTAATCAAAGAGATAGAGGTCTCCAACTCGAAATCAGACATGCAACCAACCAGAGCTCTGAAGAAACTGAATCTCTTTAGAAAAGGAGAATGGGGCAGGTTGGGTGCAGAATGGGGTAGTCAACAGGCCTCTGAAGAATGGGGGGAAGAAGACAACTACGATCTTGAAGATCTATTGGTAGACAACATAGAGGAGCAAGGGTTCAGAGAAGAGGAAGAGTGCGAGAAGGAAGCTGCAGCAGCAGACATGGACTTGGATGCTATGAGCTGTGTCAGAAGGAGAATGGGTAAGGGAGATACACAAGGTGAAGAGGTAAGTCCTAGTGCCCTCCTTAAATTTCCGTTTGTTCCAGATGATAAGTTTGTAGTGGATCCTAATGCTTACAGTAATAAATTAGGTCTGAATTTGTCTCGGAATTTTGTAAATGACGAGATAAGGAAATTCCGGGGCAGGGTAAGGATTAGTAAAATTAAAAATATGCTTGCAGTTTCTAACATGAGGAGAAGACTAAGTAAGAATAGTCTAAAAAAGGTTAAAGTTAAGCCAATAGGAACCGGTGACAAAGGGGTATTAGCAAAAACTCTCAGAGTGAGAGAGTCTAACATCAGGAAATGCATAGATTATATCATAATTAGGAGAAATCAGAAATTAAAGTTAGAGGATAGGGAGCACAAGCCTAAACTGGATTTAGCAAACTGGGGTTCCTGGTTCTTTAACTCAAGTTGGGGAACTCGTAATGGTCTAACAATAGGAGCTATAACAATTAAAGTTAATAAGTGGGTTTGGGGACCTGTCCCGCAGCAAGCCCCAGGTGGAAAATGAAGATATTAAGTTGGAATTGTTAAAGAGTAGGGTTGGCCCTGACAATTCAAGCTCTTAGGGAGACTTGCACAATTTGGAGAGCACAAGCTCTTAGGCAAACTTCTTACCTTAAGTGTAAAAAATCTATTAAATGGGTAAAATATTGGAGTGGTTGGGGAGTGGATTCTGTAGGTCTCAATGGAGGCCTGACTCTCTTCTAGAAAAAAGATGTTACTGGAAAGGTTCTGTATGTTGATAAAAACCTTATACATGTTGAATTTACCACCCAAAAGATATGGCACTTTACTTTCATCTATGGGGAACCTAAAAGTGCACTTAGGAAACCTTTTATTAATAAGTGGAGCAATTCAGCAAGTCTTGTTACAGGCCCTTGGGCTTGTATTGGTGATTTCAATTTCACCATGCATAGCTCTGAAAAAGAGGGAGGTATGATATATGGTGAATCCCAACTCTTGAAATTTAAAAGTTTCCTTAACAATTGTGGGCTTCTAGAGGTTCAAAATGAGGGTTCAGCCTTTACATGGTCTAATAAAAGGGAAGAAATGAGGCTCATCAGAGCCAAACTTGATAGAATGGTCTGTAACTCTCAATGGCAAAACCAATTCACAAATTGTAGAGTAAAAAATTTTGTTACTTTAGGGTCGAATCACCTTTCTATCTTGCTAGAGACAGATTTCAGAAACAACACAAGGAGGAAAGTTTTTAGGTTTGAGGAGATGTGGACAGACCATGAAGAATTTCAAGATCTTCTAGAGAAGACTTGGGGAAGTTATATTAGGGGATCCAGTCAAATGAAGTTGGGAAACAAGTGTAGAGCTCTAAAGGACAAAATCAAAGTATGGAATAGGGTAACTTTTGGTAATGTGAGGAAAAAAATTCAGGAATTCAAGGATTTGATTAGTGGGGAGGTGAGCAAGGTAGGGAAAGATTTTAACCAAAATAAAATAAACTTCCTAGAAACAAATCTGAATACCTAGATGAAGATAGAGGAGATGATGTGGTTATAGAAATCTAGGGTGAATTGGCTACAAGCTGGAGATAAAAATACTAAATTCTTTCACTCAATAGAAAAAGGAAGGAGCAGCAGAAATATAATAACTTCTCTAAAAGGAGCCATTGGGGGAGTGGTTATTATCTGAAGAGGAAATATCTAAAAGAGTTGGAAAACCACTTTAAGTGCATCTTCAGCTCTTCGAAGCCAGATCAACAAGAGGAGTTTCTAAGTTGTGTCACAACCAGGTTGAGTGAACAATAGAGGGTTCTGCTAGAAAGAGAAGTCACAGTTGAGGAAATTAAGGAGGCTCTATTTTAGATGGCTCCCAGGAAAGCTCCAGGGCCTAATGGCTTCCCAAATTTCTTTTTTCAGAAGTTTTGAGGAATTGTTAGAGATGATGTGATTAAGGCTGTGAAAGCTTTTTTTGAATCAGGAACTTTACTTAGGAAGTTTAATTAAACCTTTATAGCCCTGATCCCAAAAACCAAAAACCCGGAGGAAGCTGCCTATTTTAGACCCATCAGCCTTTGCAACTCCATCTATAAAATCATAGCTAAGGTTTTAGCTAATAGAATTAAGCCTCTTCTAGGAGGTTTAATCAGTGTAAATCAAAGTGCCCTTACTCCAGGCAGATACATATAGGACGACATCCTAATAGCTCATGGAATTATTCATTTTATGAAAAATGCCAGAGGGAGCACTCCTTGAATGGCATTGAAACTTGATATGAGCAAAGCCTATGATAGGGTGGAATGGACTTTCTTGGAGAAAACCATGCTAAAGATGGGATTTGGAGTAAAGTAGGTTAATTGGGT